TCACAACATGATAGGTGACTTCTGATGGTATCTCCATGCCCAGCCCTGCATCAGGCAATAACACATGACATTCATCCAGCATTTGGCCCAGGCTTCAGAAGGGGTTGGCTCTCACAAGGCACCAGCAGCCCCAAGGGGACCATGGCAGCTGTCAGCCAGCGAGCATCCTCAAACACTGTGACTGTGTGAAGGGAGAGGTATTGTCTAGAAATGTTATAGGAGATCAACCATTAGTGTTATTAAATCTTGCTAAAAGCCTAGCTGTGACTAAGAGCAGTGGGGTTTTGTTCAAGTTTTGACTATGTATGCACACCCCCACACTTTAAAGATGTCTGTACAAGTATTCTGAAGAAAACTTTGCCTTCAGATTAAAATCATGTATAAATCATTTCAGCAGTATAAGGAGATACCTGTGTATTTTATTTTCAATATAAACTTTTCCCTCATAAGTGTCTGTTTCTGACCCCATTTCCTATGTTAAAAGGAGCTGAAGGCCAGTGTTGCTAAAATAATAATTGTGTAGAAATCCTAGAGCCACTGGCAGGAATTCAGCAGAGCTCACATGATTCAGTGATGACAACTGGCTTCACAAAGAGCAGGAATTTCTCATCTTGTGAGTGAGCATGATGTAGATGCTAGTTGTGCATTTTTTTGTTTTGACACAACTTGGACACATCCATCTCAGGTCCAGCCAGTGCGATTCCTGCAGCCTGGGCTTTCCCACACGTGGCAGCACAGTCCTGTGGCCATGCTCCATGTCAGCACCTGCCAGTGCCAGCCACAGCAGGATAAGGGACCACCCCACCGGGGCAGGGGGAAGACCCCAGCCCACTGCCAGGTCACTCAGTGCAAGCACAGGAGCAGCAGCAGCTGGAGAGGCTCTGCCTCTGTGTGTGCACAGGTTTCAGCAGGAAACCAACATGAGAAACATCCATGGCAGGTGAACAAATTTGCTCAGGTCTCATGGACTGGGGCCAGTGTGAAGGTCATAGGAGGAAATAACTTCTGCATTTTTTTTGCCTTTTGCTTAGCAAAAGCTGTGGCACATTGCGGAGTTTGGAGCTGCAAAGAAGAGAGGAAAAGTATAACATCTCTATGTGAACACACTTTTTCTGTCAGTCTTATTTAGTGTTATAGCTCAGAGAAGAGCCAGTGGCACAAAATCTGTCCTGGGCTCCAGAATATATACTGTAATTGTCCCCTGCTCCCTGCCCTGGTGGTTTCTCACTCCTCATCTCTCTTCCTTGTACCTCCCCACTCTCTCATGTCCGCTGGCTAGAAGAGGCCAGAGATCCTCAGGATGGGGCAATGTCTGTCTCAGGAGAAAGCCAAAATGATGAAAACAACAAGGTGTTTGGAAGAGGAGGAGACCCACAAGTGACAGGTGTGCCAACCTGTCACACTGGCTGAGAGAGCACTCTGGCTGCTCTCCTACCTCCACAGCTTCAGGTTAAACAGCGCCACTCCTCTGGACAGGAGAGTAGGAGGCTCAGGGGGACCTTCTCCTTCTCTACAACTGCCTGGAGAGGGGTTGTAGTGAGGCTGGGGTCAGTCTCCTCCCAGGTAACAACTGAAAGGACGGGAGGAAACAGCCTCAGGTTGCTCTAGGGGAGGTTTAGGTTGGATATTAGGAAAGATTTCTTCACAGAAAGGTCGTCAATCTTTGTAGCAGGCTGCCCAGGGGACTGGTTGAGTCAGCATCCCAGGAAGGATTTAGAAGATGTGTAAATGTGCTGCCCAGGGACCTGGTGTGGCGCTGAACCTGGCAGTGCTGGGCTCATGGTTTAACTCGAGGATCACAGCGGCCGTTTCCAGTAGCAATTCCACGGCTCCATCTGCCAGGCTGTGCCCCTGCCCGAACACCCTTCAGGCGCTGGGGCAGGGCTGGGGAGGGGGCCGGAAGGCCCGGGCGGGCGGCAGAAGGCCCGGGCGGGCGGCAGAAGGCCCGGGCGGGCGGCAGAAGGCCCGGGCGGGCGGCAGAAGGCCCGGGCGGGCGGCAGAAGGCCCGGGCGGGCGGCAGAAGGCCCGGGCGGGCGGCAGAAGGCCCGGGCGGGCGGCAGAAGGCCCGGGCGGGCGGCAGAAGGCCCGGGCGGGCGGCAGAAGGCCCGGGCGGGCGGCAGAAGGCCCGGGCAGCCCCGCTGGCCCTGAGGCGGGCCCGGCCGCTGCCGCCTCAGCCGTGCGGACGCGCCGAGCAGGGGCCGCATGGGGGCACCACAGGCGGCGGCGGGGCCCAGCCCGAGGCCGGGGCCGAACCGGGTTGGGCTCCCCGCACACCCTCTGAGAGCCGGGGGTTCGCAACCCCACTGCAACACTCCTGTACCCCTGGAATTCCGCAGAAAAGCGCTCCCTGAATACAAGTAACAGGAACGGAAAGGAATTGCTGCTTTTAGCATCACTATGGATAAAGGGTTTTTCGCTGTTTTGTCCCATTCTGGAAGTGTTCAAGGCCAGGCTGGATGGGGGCTGGAGCAATCTGATCTAGTGGGAGATGTCTCTCTCTGTTCAAGGCAGGGGGGCTGGAGCGAGATGACTTTTAAGATCCCGTCCAGCCCAAACCATTCTATCATTCTATTATACAGCCTCAGCCTGACCCCAGTGGCATCACAATTGTAGAGTTGTCCCTAGCTGCCAGGAAAGTCACCTATTTGAAGATATATCACTTCAGTCTGCCTCTGTGGGTTTTTAGTTTTGTTGTCAATATTTATAAAGCACTTCATTTAACTAATTACCACTGGACTACATCAGTCAGTAGCAGAGATGCACAACTTGGATAAAGAGGAACCTGTTTTATTAGCTCCCTCTGAAAATGTTTGGCCATTTCCATGCTAAACTGTATTTTTCTCACCCAAACTATAGGCTAAGAGGCCGGTTAAACTCATAAGGGTCTGACAATGGGACCTCATAGCATCTCAGCTGAGAGAGACAGAGCTTACTGACTGCCCAGGAATACAGGACACAGCCATGGAGAAGGCATCTGGCCTCTCTCAGTGCCACAGCTCCCAAATGCTGACTAAAAAGCCCACCACACAGTGTATGATGCCTCTGTCATATTGTGGAGCTGGATGACAGTAATCATTTCCTTATTTTTCTTAACAGAAAAGCACAAAGCATTTTCAAAGGATCTTGGTATTGTAAATCATGTTCCATTTTGGCTTCTTATAAAGAAAAAAAAAAAAGCAAAATGAGTCACTGCAGAACAAATACCACCAGGAAGCCTGCAGAAAGCAACTCCAGCCTTGCTGGGAGTCAGGCAGTTGTACTGGCTCCTGCTGCTCTTTCCTGCAAGAGCAGCTCCAGGCTGGTCTCCTCTTAGAGGGCACTACAGGTCTGGTCACTGGGATACAGCAAGACCTACACAATGGATCCCAAAACAGGAGAGAAAATCCCACTGCTACAGCTGAAGATACAGCCTATGCCCTGAATGCTGAGAGGAGACCCCTGCAAGGTCCATTTGTGAACATGTGCATCAATGCAGGCCCCTTTCTTTTCATGTGGCCTGACATGATCTTATCCCCCCTTTAGAAAAGAAAGACCCTGGAGAAATCTGTCAGGTCTCTCAATGTCCAAGCTGCCTCTTTATTGTCTGACCCAACAGCCCTGCAGTAGGCAGTGTGTCCCCTCCATGGCACACAATGTGGTGCCATTGACAGCTCTATTTCACTTCCTCTAGCCATCCCTCCAGCAGCATATTCAGCTGCCTTTCTGCAAGCCCTGCCCTAAAGGCACCACAGCTGCCAACACACAGAAAACACTCTCAGAATCACCCCTCAATGATCCATACATTTGTGGTTGCTGGGATTAATATCCCCATGGCAAGACCCTGATCAGCTGGAACTGGAGCATAATCATACCTCACAGAGAAAGGTCATGCTGCAAACCACACAGCCTCTTCCTGTAATTGGCTGTAAATAGTCTACAACTCTTCTCTTTGTGCAGCTTTATCCAAAAATAAAATCCCTTTAGGCTGTGGTAGACCTCACTTTGATGTTCATGGGAACAGCACTCTCAAATTATATGCAGTACATGGCACATGGACTGTACTGTACAGCAGTTCAATGCCAGTGACAGTCTATGGCTTATATTTAAGCACTGAAATACAGTTGAATTTCCTTGGGTAGCATTAAGGTCAGTTTCAGGTTAACTTATCTCTTCCTGTAATCCCATAAAATAAATATTTTTCTGACTCATTTTAAGTTTAGAGTCTCTGAAAATAGTTTTCCTGGAATAGACCTTGTCACTACACTGAAATTCATGTCTCCACTGTCCCCACATAATTAAGCACACTTGATAAAAAACATGTATTTTTAAAAGGCACTGTTAATATATTTTATTAGCCAAGTTGTTACTGAATCAAAACTTTCAATTAATTTAGTAGCATGTTCGTGTTTAACCTTTATTCTAAAGGATAAATCTGCTTTTCTAGCCTATCAACTCAAACAAATTCCATATTGCTTATAGCAAGCTAAAACACACCCTACAGCTGTCAGATCCTAATAAATCTCATACTTTGGACTTGAAATAAATGACCTAAAGCTAAATGTAAGGAAAAGCATTTTTTTTTCCTTAAGCAGAAAAGCATACAGGAGGTCAAAAGGTCACCTTCTTGCAATCTGACTACCACATTCCTAGAAGGCAAGGCCAGAGATGAGGTGAACCTTCTACATTCCCCATAAGAGTGAGGGGGGTCCTTACAACTGGGAGCTACACAGATTGACAGAAAGACACCTCTGTGACAGCCTAAAGACAGTGATGACGAATCTTGATCAGCCTTGACATCACAGCCTTGTTTTTCTGTTGCACAGCCACCCACTTCCCACCTCCTCATCCATGCTTCCCAGTTTCACCACCAGCAGTATGCAGATTTCCAAAGAGTTGATCCCCCTCATCTCTAGGGGAGAGTGACAGCTCCTATCTCCCTCCCCTTGGAGCTGGAACTCTTTACTTATCTCCAGGAGAAGGCAGAAGAGAAGAAGGAGGACTTTAGGGGTGGTTAGCCTTACCTAGGGTCTCCTGGCCGGTTTCGCAGCGGGGTGCTGGCTTGGTGGCTCTAAGCAGCCCAGCGAGGAGGAGCAGGAGCCTCAGGACCATGCTGGAGCCCCTTGCACAGCAGCACAGTGATGTGGCACTCAGTGCCTGATGGAGTGACTCCTCTGCCGAGCCTCAGCGCGGCTCTGGCTCTCGGAGCTGCAGAGGAAATCAGTGCACTGCAAGGGCATGCCCACGTCTCACAGTGTGTGCAGTCCAGGCGTCAGATTTCAGCTGCATTTCAGCTTGGAAAGCAAAAGGCTTTGAGACACAGAGGGAGGAGGAATGAGCTCCCCCTCCCCTCTGCCTCCAGACTGTCTCCCTCCTGCAGGCTGGTTTACAATTCCATAAACAGTTTGAGCAAAGGGGGGATCCTGCAGGGTTGTGCCCCCCTGGGTCCCTTTGGTCTTCATGCAACACTTTTCCTAAGGGACAAGGGACATTCATGAATGTGTGTCTCTCTGAAGCCAAGAGAACTGTCTGGAGAGAGCAGGGGGAAGAGACGGAAAAGCAAACAACTGAAAGCAACTTTCCTCAAACTGTGGTATTTCATCACATACTTAACTGCAAGTTTAGAACAAACATGACAGTGAAAGGACTCTGAGCTGCATTCTTCCAGCACACAGAGAATGGGAACACACAGAACAGCCACCAGGATCCCCCTCTGCATGCTCCTCCTGGGCATTTTACTTAAGATAAGATCAAGTTGTCTGGAGGGATTCCAGTGTTTTCTGTCTATTCTTAAAAAAATAACAACTTCACAAACGACTAGAAGAGATTCCAGGACAGCATTATAAGGTTTAAACTGGACAGTAAATCTACATTAGGTTGATAGTAAATTGATCTTTTAATTTTCTTGTTTGGTTGGTTTTGGTGGGGTTTTTTCAGTATATTTTAAAGAAATATGTATTGTATGTTTTAATTTCTGTGCAACAGGTATGGTGGAGAAGCATACCTTAATTAAGATGGAAATTCCTCATTTCTTACCTACACATCAGAAAACATCCCATATCACGGAAAAAAGGGATTTTTTTCCTCAAAAATCTAGACCTAAACAGACATCCTATCTTTTTCAGGCAGTGCGTGTTCCTTTGAGAACATATACCTGCTTATACAGAAGAGCAGAGAATTTGTCCTTGCAGGCAGAGCATGCTGGCTCCTGCTGCTCAGTGTTGGAGATCAGTAGGGAGTTATGGTGCTGTATGATAATGTAATCAAATGAACCCCCCATAGGGAAACCACTAAAGAGGCTGACAGGGCAGGAGAATGCTGTGTGTGTCTCAAAAAGTAATTGATGTCTCATCTCATTTGAAAGGGATGCATTGAGAAGCTCAGCAGTCAAGTATGTCCTCTGCTTCCAGGCTCGGCAAGGCAGGTTGGCTTTTTATCTTCAGGATTTCCCTCTAGATCTGGAGACTGCAGAGTCTGCCCTGTCTAAAGTGACTAAACAGTACCAAAGCCTATCAGGGTTTGAAGAACAAACTTCCAAGGACAAGAATACTATTTACCTGCCTTATTTTTTGTCCTGATCACACAGCAGTATGGCTGGACCCTCAAGAAAAAAACAAACAAACAACAAAAAACAACAAAGCACTGGAAGTGTGGCCTCCAAGGGAAGGAATACTTCACCTTCTGCCTAATTCCCCAACAACTGGCTGCTCTGAGTACCAATCTGCCACACTTGTACCTGATGTGCTCAGGTACAGCTGAGGGTGTGTTAAAGCCTGAGGCTTGCTGTGTGCCCAGCCTGTGCATTTTGTGTTAAAGGGGAAAAAGAAGCTGCTCAGAACTAAAAGGGATGTGGCTCAATTTTTTACAACAACAAAAGGCAGCAGAGGTTATACCTACAGACAAGCCAACCATCAGCCCTTGGAAATGTTCATGCCTGTACTGCAGTTTTCTGCAGCCCTTGAGAGTGTGAGGGGAGGGGGAGTGTGAGGGGAGATCCTGTCACATACATCCCAATGCTTGTGGTGGTGAACTCTGCTGCAGAACTAATCCTGTACTATCTATAGTCCTGTCAGCTTTTCACTTCTTTTTTGTTGGCATGTTTTCCTGCTTGTATTTTCTCTGTTTTCTACCCTCCAGCATAGGCACTATGTCCTTGTGAGTGATTTCTCACCTCCACTGCACTTCAGTCACCATTGCCAGTGTAGATGCCACGTACTTTGGGACCATGTGTTTTAAAATGTGGTCAGTGTCATTATTATTGGATATTAGAAGTGAATTCAGACCATGTAAAACTTATGATGGGAAGGAGTAAAGGGTGGATCAGGGAGGCCAAGAGCAGGAAAATCAGAGGAGGAGATTAAAAGGCATGGCTGCATGCATGTGAGGCTGTACACTTGTCTGAGTCCTGGGCCTGATCACTGAAATCCAGTCTATTTCATATTCAATCCTTAATTTTTTTTTTTCTCCTACTATGCAATCCCCCTCTCTGACCTAGGTGTGCAAGCTGAATGGTCAAAATGCCAGCAAGCTGAGAGACTGAAGTGTAAGCTGCAAGATCTAGGTGTCAGCCTCTGGAGAGACCAGGAGGGTTTATATTTCCCAAGTGAACACAATCCTGTGTCCATGTGTCGGTTGCCAGCAAACTTCAGTCTGGATTAGCAGGCAAGTAGGAAAGGACTTATCTGAAAAGACTTGAGGTGTGTTCAGTGGCTGGGTAAAGGGCCCAGGGTGCAGACATGACCTGAGAGCTTGTGCTGATGTTTCAGGAGTCTGTGAGTGTGAGCCTGCCTGTGAAGCCAGAGTGGGAGCATTTGTGCTTTCACCAGTGAGCCTCCAAACTGAGCAGCCACAGAGGGACAGCAGGACTGGGCTCTGTGCACTTATGTGAGTGCTGCTGGCAAATCAGCTTGTCTGGAGTCCTGTGTGTGTGCTTGCCACTGTGGGACTCACCCTCCTTTGTGGTATGAACTTGCACATGTCCCCATTGCCTGGATGACACCAGAAACATCCTTCACAAGCTCCACTGCATCAACTAAATAAAGCTGTCAGTAGCTGGCAAGCTCCAAGCTTCTTTGTTCTTCAGATTTCAGAGACTATTGACATTCAATCAGGGTGTCTATTTGATACCAGGATAAAAAATTTAGAGCATAAGTAGGATAGATGGGGCCTAAGAATGACATTCAGGTAATTAAAAACAAAGTAAATTTATCAGTTTGTCACCACCATCTGTAATTTTTTTCGTGCTTTCATGCCCTAAGGTACAGAAAACAGAAGGTTTGGAAGGGTTATTTCACTTTTAGCTTAGATTGCCTGTTCTTTTCTTCCTTTCCAAGGGATTTGATCCCAGTGTGTCTTTCTGTGAAGGTTTGGCATGTTTGTCACCACTAGGTTCCCCTGTAGACCTGCACCTTTCTGAGGGGAGCAGTAGTTCAGATACTGTTCTTACCACTTATACAATATTTCCTGCCTTCCAGCATTTCTAACTTGTGTGGGGTTTTTTCAGCCCATTGTAAGCAGTTTGTGTATATCATTTGCCCTTCTCATATTTTTGTTGTGGGACTAGCAGGAATTGCACAGCTGCATGACCAAACCTAAAAGCATTAAAAGCACCTAGGACAGGGATGGTTGGGCATAGAGGGATTTCCTGACCTCTCTGTTTTCTTTGCTGTGTTTAGTAAATCTTCTCATCTTAGGAAGTTGAAAACAAGTTCTGGCTTAGGGTTAAATATACTATTTTCACCCCAATTCTAAAAGAATCTTAAAAATGAACCAATGAATCCCAGACTGTTAAGCAGATGTAACAACAACACCGGGGTTCCATCATTTGCATTTGAATCACTGCAATCAATAAAGGTTGATAATTTCACTAGCTGCTGTTGCTGACTGTGTTTTCCTGATCTGACCTTTCTGTTAGCCTGCAGTCCACAGTACAGCAGCAATCCAGAAATCCTCAGACTGGACTAAATACCAAAAATGGTTTATGTCCTTGGCAGGTACTCAAAGTGGGATTAAATACAGTACATTTAACTTGCTTGCATTCTCATGATTCTTACTCTTGTAAGATAAATTTAGCAGAGGAATATCTTAGATTTAGACAGGCTTTCATTACCTGTTTCTTTTTTATTTTGACTCTGCTGAGAGGAGGTTGAACATTAAACAGAAGCAGTGTTGTCTAGATAACTTTTCAGAAGGACAAACAGAGACCAGATGAAAATGCTACTTCATGGCTTGTTATTCTCTCCCTTACTAGGTGCTAGTGAAGCTGGCAGAAAGTGTTTGGCAGCACATCACATCTGCTCCAGCACAAAGTCAGCAGCTGTGGTTTCAGGACTTTAAAGTGGTTTAAATTAATCCAGGGGATATTTTAATTGCACAGAGGCACCAATTGCATTCTGTGGGTTTTGTTTATTTTTGGTTTTTTTCCTCCCTGTTTCAGTTTCTGAAAAACAGGGCAGAGAAGAGGAACTGGTCTCAGGACAGACAGGGAGTAAATCAGCAACTTCCTACTAAGCTATAGCAATATTTCAAAAAATCCAACCCTGTTCTACCTGTCTTTGCAAGACCTTATCTCCCTATGAACGGATTGAGCTTCATGTAACAGCAGAGAACTGGAAAAGGCCCACAAGAGCTTCTCTTTCAGCTTCTAGATGCTAAGTTAAAAAAGGAAAACAAATTTTTTCTCCAAACAAAGATTTCTAATTCAAATTAACATGCATCTGGATAAGAGAGATGGCTAATTTCTTCTAAAGATACACAGGCTATTCTGAGCTTTGCACTTAAGCAGATATTTTGGGATATTTCTCTGTGCTTTCTGGCACCATCTACATTATACTTGGGGAGCTTTTAACTTTCTTATTGAGAGTTTTTTCAGTGGTACCTTTTATCTCAACTTTCAATTTGTTCCCCTTATGACCCACAGGATTAAAAACTTCAGTTTAGAAACTGCCACACATAAACATTAAGTGCTGGAAATTTGATTGAGAGACTATAAAGAAAAGACCACAAGAACAAGTTTTGCTGTTTTCCAAAATTTTAACCTAGAATGGATCATGGACTGCAACTGCCTACATGTCTCAAATACTTCAAAATTCCCTGTAGACTCTACCAGTTAT